AGCCACCCCAGCTCCGCTCGCTCAGCAGCATCCAGCGTGGGGAGCAGCGCTCTGCCTGGCTCCCTGACACGGGGTGGACGTTCCTGAGCGTTGAGCTCAGCTGCTGTAAAAAGCAAGTAGGAAAATATACAGCTGGATAAAATTGGTAAGTCGAACTAAAGTCACATCCTCCTCCTTGGGCTGCAGTTTTCCAGTCTCCTAATTTGTAATGTGTTTTGCAGGCCGGTTTTTTATTGTCTTCTAAGCAGAGCAGCTGGGGACAACATGGAGGCAGAATAAAAGTGTAAAAAAACTTTGAGGATTTGTCAGTATTTGTGCTCCTATTTTGAAATCCTCTTTCCACGCTGATGCTTTGCTGCAGGAGTGGGGAAGGGAAAACCAGCAAGTGCTTTTGAATGTGGGGGGAAAGGAAATTGGTAAGAGTTGTAATTGGCTTTTCTCGCGGAGATGGTTAAAGAGGGAGATTTGAAAAAAAAAAAAACAAACCCACAAACTTTCAAGAAGCTTGAAGTGACTTGTCATTTACTTTTCCAGAGTAAGAACAAATCTTGTCTTAAACCGTTTTAAAACGCAGTTGGATGTGTGCAGAAGGCATAAGAATCTTTGTAAAACTGTGTTAGCAATGGAAATCTGGATGCCAAAATATTGCCGGGCAAATGCTGTATATGTTTGTTTAAATTTCACTAACTGCTTTGGCAGCTCGGGAAGAGCAGAGGCATTAAACGCCGTTTTCTCTGCGCCGGACAGAGGGCGCTGTTGCTGCATCTGGCATAACCCTCCCTGAAACGGGGAGCTGGTAAGAGTTCAAGTGAAAAATCCGGTAGAGATGTTTTAAACAATAAAACCAGAAATTGTTCACACATACAAAAGGCTACAGTATATAGCATCCAGTTAGAGCAGTCAGTGGTTTTGATTTTTGTTCCCTTAAGTTGTGGGGATAGTTGTCCTGTTTGTTTGGTTTTTAAGTGATGATCTGAATTATAAAGAAAAATATAAGTCCTGTTGGTCAGCTCTAGAAATTAGAGCCTGGTTATGATCCTGTTACCGTTTCTGGAATGTGTTGTGGGGTCAGCCTGGATAAAGAAGGGGAGGGAAAGTGTGGAATCTCTTGACAGAAACGTTACTTCAGTAACGGTGTGGGAGATGAGGAAGAACTCTCACTAGGTGTTGATCAAGTTGCAGGCTGGAGTTAGACATCTGGTATGGGAACGTATCCTTTGTATCCAGCACAGATGTGTAGCAGAGGTTGGAGATCTATAAGCTGAATAGTAAGACCTGTAAACCCTAATGATGGAACCCCATATTGTCAAGTAGCTTGGGGAAAGGGGGAGGGCCATGTTCAGGCAGGCATACAGCTTGCTTCATAGAAATCCCAATACCACTACTGGTACAAGAGGCTGATAATTGTGCCATGTTCTACCCATGTATAATGAAGACTTAGAGAATACAGTAATAGACTCTCCTTACTTCTGTGTGTGTATACCTGCTTGTGCGTACCCTGGTCTGTATAATAATATTCTGCTGCTTTGTGGAATAGGAATTTGGGGTTCCTTGAATCAAAGGCTTTAAAAGGAATGAAGGTATTAATTTAACGAGTGCAGTTCTATTGTGAGTAGAGAAGGATCAGAGCTGTCAAGTTCCCATCTGATACAACCTCTACTAGAACTTGACGTTTCTGTTGTGACCTGGGGCTTTGGTTGTGCCTGGAACAACAAGATGTTTCTGTCTGGCTTTATTCCTGCTACTTATAAATCACTTACAGTGGAGTGGAAAGATTTGCAGGTTTTGAGTCCTTAATGTGAGACATGCTGGGCAAAGCAGATTAAAAGAACTGAATGACCATATGGAACGCAGTCATTTAGACTCCTGATTATGATACCTCATTGAAAAGCT